CAATCGGGAGCTGGGGAGATAGCTCAGCAGTTAAGAGCTCTTGCTGCTCTTGCAGACTATCTGGGTTCAGTTCCCAGCACCCACATGATGGCTCACAACCATCTGTAACTCCAGTTGTGGGGATCCAATGCCCTCTCCTGGTCTTTGCAGGCTCCAGGCACACTCGAGGTACACATACATGCACAAGGGCAAAACATCCATACACACATAAAATAAATCTTGAAAAAAAATCTTTCTCTCTGCAGATAAAATAGCAAATGAATTAAATTCAGGGCTATAGTTTAAAAACTAAATATTGGCTTTCATGGTTCCAGAACTAGAAGCTATGTATTGTCAAAGTGGATTCCTAGTAAAGACACACATCACTATACATGTAAATTCTAATTTGTCTTTGCATCTACATGACTGGAATGCACTACACAGTAAACATGTTAAGTACCATTTTAGCCACTCCAAAATGCCGCCTTAGAGCACTGTTTCCTGGAACACTCATTGGAATAATCTTAGAAACTTGCTCCTGGTGTTCCTTGGTAGTTAGGGAACCTGAGGCTGAAGAAGCAAACCACAGCCTTAGAGGCAGGCACAGCAGTCTGCATCCACCAGTTATGTGTCCCAGATCAAGGAATAAGGAAGTAGTGCGCAGAACATGAAGGCACATAAAGATACAGGAATCTTTGATATTTTATCGGTATAGTTACTGTATTTTAATTCCTTTCATTTAAATTTTAGACCAAGAACAAAGTGATTCTAGTTAAAGATTTCATACTTTCCTACAAATATTGGTATCATCAACAGGGCAATCTACATTTTTTTAACCAAGTTGCACAAGGATCTAAACCAGAGGATACATAGACTGTGGCATAGTTTTGATGTTTTAAGAGACTTTACCGTCTGGCCCAAGTGTGATTTCATAGTAAGGAAAATGGAGCAGAGGGGCTACCCCTTCTCACTTGGTCAAACACTACTCCAGTTAGAATCAGAGAAAGTCCAGGCCTTTCCATTATTAGGGTTGTTTTCATTAAAGATTTTTTTTCACTTAGGAAAAGTGTAAAGAACTCATGTCAAGCCATTTAGGGGCAAAGGATATGCTGGATGTGCTATCAGGAGATGAAACCACTTTACAGTTGAAAATTGAAAACATCATAAAGGAGTTATCACAAAAGGGAAATAGTACTCTTTTGCCCTCTATGTTAATTCCAGGGTCACACAACTAAATGTGTAGTTGCAATAGTGTCAGTCCCAAGTCCTGTAACCACAAGCAGCATACTCATTGCCATACTATTCCTTGAAGGAACTAATGCACTGAGAAATCGCTTACACTGAAGCATCATTCTAGGGAATCATGGTGCTCTTGCAGAGGACCCAGATTCGGTTCCCAACACCCACATGTTGGCTTACAATTCCCTGTAACTCCAGTTCCAGGTGATCAGATGCTTTCTTCTGGCTTTCATGGGCACCAAACATGCATGTGGTGCACATACAGACCTGCAGGTGAAGCATACATGCAAGCAAATCATAAGGATCTGGTTTGTACACAAAGCAGTAAGGATTTAAGAGATATTGTGACTTTCTTTAACTCATGGTTCTTAAACAGTAGGGTCTATGTATTTTCTAATCATAAAATCATAACTACTCAATCTTAACTGAAATATGGAATTAGGCAACTTATTCTAAAAACTGTATACATCTTACTAAATTTCCATTTTTCTATTTTTTTTTCTTTTTTTGTATATGGGTATTTTGCTTGCATGTATGACTATGCACAACATACATGCTTGGTGCCCACTTAGAGCTTTAGAGGGTGTTGGGTCCCTTGAAACTGGGGGTTTTGATTGTTGTGAGCCCCTATGTGGGTGCTGGAAATCAAACCCAGGTCTTCTGGAAAAACAGCAAGTGCTCCTAACTGTTGAACAAAAAAAAGAAAAAAAAAAAAGGAAAGTTGGAGCTAGAGAGATGGTTCAATGGTTAATGGTTAAGAGCAGTTGCTGTTCTTGCAGAGGGCCCAGGTTTGGTTTCCAGCACTCACATGTGGACTCACAACTACCTGTATCTCCAACTCTAGGTGACGAGATGTCCTCTTCATGGGCACCAGGCATGCATGTGGTATGTATATATACATGCAGGCAAAACATACATGCAAGCAAAATACTCAAACACATACAATAAAAACAAATAAAAAGTGGTTTTCTGTCTTGCCATTTTCAAAATACAATAGCCACAGAATGGATATAATAATACTTTTCCCAACTTCTCAATTTCCCTCCAATCTATTAAAATTACTTCATACAAATAGAAAATTCCTTTCTTGATTTCTTTTCTTCTTCTTTTTTTTTTAATTATTATTGTTTTGAGACAGAGCCACATTATGTATTTAGCTCTGGTTGTCCTGGAACTCACTATGTAGACCACACTGGCTTCCAACTCTTGAGATCTGCCTACCTCTGCCTCTGCCTCCAGATGCTGGGATTAAAGGCCTGCACCACCAAGCCTGGCTGGGAAATGCCTTTCATTAACACCTAGTCAGCAGCATGCTTCTTGCCTGCAGAATTAAATTTACTGTAGCCCATTATCATCCCAGTCTAGACTATAACTCAATGCAAAATACTTGATTCTTTATTGGAGAGGGTTGCTATTTAAACTCTTGTTTTTAAATGATAGTGTTGTAAACTTAAGCCTATGTCTTTCTTCTATAAAGATTATGTTTAGTTACTACTTAAATGTTCCTCAGAGATTTCCTGGTTGTGTACTATGTAAGCTATTCGTATCTTAAGGTTCTTTGTAACCCAATTTTGAGGGTTCTGGGTGCTTATTTATTATTTGGGGGTTTGGAAGGAGACGGTCTCATGCCATCTAGGTTTAGCTTCCAGTTGCTAATCTTCTTGCCTTGACCTTGAGTGCCAGGAGTACAGGTGTGTACCACCACACCTGGCTGCTAAGTGTATGATAGAAGCACTATTTCCTGGATTCTGAATAAACTGCAATAGATTAAATTAACTTTAAAATGGGGGGGGGGGGAAGCTGGGTGTTGGTGTATACCTTTAGCCCAGCACTGGAGAGACAGAGACAGGCAGTTATCCGTGAGTTTGAGGCCAGCCTGGTCAGCATAGTGAGTTCCAGGGCAGCCAGAGCTATGTAATGAGACCCTATTAAGAACGAACAAACAGCTCCCCGCCCCCCAAAAAAAATCAGAAATAAAATGAAATGAATAAAAAACTTTGAATATACAACAGGTACTTAATTATCGATACCTATACAAAGGAGGAATGCTGTTTGAATTTAAAGCATTTTTGTGTGTACAGTGAGTTTGAAATCACGCAGTTTCACATGTCAGATACAATAATGCAAACCTAGTAGAAAGAAAGCCCTTAAATTTCTCATGTGCTTCACTTCTGAGACAGGGCTTAATTCCCTGACAGGGCCCGTCTCTCCCTCTTTGACTATTTAAGATTAGGAACAGCCTTCGAAACATAGCGTCTTTCCTCAAAACTGAGACACAAAATGAGAGAAACCCATTCCTACAAACGCTCCCTCAGCAAATGAAATTTGGGATTTTTTTCCCTTCTAGAAAATAAGTGAATGGCAGGGGCAATAAGCAGATAGATGCGGGACACAGACACTGGAACAAGCAAGCAATGAAATCGGCTGCCTTCTTAACAATCAGCCAGTAAAACAGAGGGTTGTTTGCACAGTATCGGAGGATAATACAACCTAGGTTGGAAGGAACCTTACAGGCTATAAAACTTTGTGTCTTTTGATTTTCATGATTCTGAAGATTTGTGAAGGGCACTGTCTTTAAGATTCAATTTTGACCAAATATAGCCAAAGCGGACTTAAAAAATATTTTCTGCATTGTTCGGGTTTCCACAAGGTAAAGCTTACAATGGATTATTAGCATTGGCATTTCTTGGACTTTTCAAGTTCCTCTTTAACCCTTCCTCTCCCCACATCCTACCCTGCTGCGCATAGTCCTGCAGACTGGGAGTTTACAATGGGGTATCTGGCTATCCCTCAGGATCTCCTTGATGTACCATGACCTGTTCCATCGGTTCTCGGCTTAAGTGTAGGGCAGATTAGTGCGTGGAGAGGGATTTGTTATGCTTCTGCTCATTAAAAAGTTGCAACGATACAGGTAAATTCCAAAGTGGGCAAGAAGGCAATGGAGGGGCCACTCGTGTGCCGGTTACTGGAGCGCACAGCAATCACGCGGGAAGCCCGGGTGAAGGTCTCCCAGGCTGAGCCGGATTCATCTTCACCCAGCCCGCAGCGGGTGATCTCAGAGCGGCTATCAGTGAAGGGCTATGGTCACAGCCCCCAAGGAAAGCGGTGGCCAGGTGACAGAACCAGGCCACCTTGGCTGCCACCGCCGTCACACAACCCGATTCCCGAAAGGCAGCCCAGAATGTCCGCGGCGCGTTAGGCGCATCCAGCACACTGCCCGTCGGCCCGAGTCCCCCACCTGTTGGCACGCTCCCCCGAGCTAGGCTTTGGACCCTGTCCACGGACAGGGAATGTGACAGACGATCATAAATATGCAGGAGAGATGCAGCCAAGCCAGCAGAGCCACCGGGCCGGCGCCGGCGGGAGCCACGGAGCTGGAGCCCGGCCTCAGTCGCCGCGCTGCCAAAGCCAGGCGGGTCGCGCCGGCGCACTCGGGCCACCGCAGTGGCCCCAGGGGCTCGGGTCGCGCGGACAGCCACGCCGAGCCCCGCCGCCGCCCGCCGTCCCCCACCGCGCAAGCCGGCGGCAGCATGGAGCCCGGCGCGGCGGCCCGACCCGCGGAGCCCGCCGCGCGCCACGGCGACGGCAGGAAGAAGATGGCGGCGGCCGTAGCGGCGGCCACCGCGGCCTCCCACGCGCCGCTGACGCCAATGGCGCGCGCCGGCCGGCGGGCTGCGGATGGCGGCGGCCCGGGCTCGGGCGAGGGGCGGGGCGAGGCGGCGAGGGGGCCGGCGGGAGGCGGAGGCCGGGCGGGCGGCTGGAGGGAGGTGGCGGGGACAGTGTGTGGCGCTCGGAACATGGCGGGCGTCTGCGACGCGGCCGCCCCGGGAGAAGGCGGCGGTGGCGGCGCGGACGGCACCGAGCGGACGGGCCGCGGCGAGGCGGAGCAGCCGGGCGGCGGCGGCCACGGGCCCGCGCCTCAGCACACCGAGACGCTGGGCTTCTACGAGAGCGACCGGCGGCGGGAAAAGCGCCGCGGCCGCGCAGGTGAGGCGGGCGAGCGAGCGGGCGAGCGGGCGGGCGGGCGGGCGGCGCTAGGCCGCGGCCGGCTGCCCAGGGGCCGACGCGGGATTGAGGTGGCCGGGACGCCGCAGTCTCCAGTCGGCGCGCGGAGCGGCCGCCGCTCCTGTGGCTCCCGAGTCCCCGCGGCCGGTGACAGCTCCCCCGGCGGCTGGTGCGCGCGGCCCGACGCTCCCGCGGCCATCCCCGAGCCAGGTGCGCCCTGGAGCTCCACTGTCCCTGGTCACCGACTGCTCCCGGCCGGTCTCAACAGTGACAGGCGTCTCCCACCTCCGAAAGAGGTCAAAAAAAATGGGAAGCGCAGGGCTTTCTAGATGATGTCCATGACAAGGTGACTTTTTCCCCCCGCTGTGTTTTATGCGAAGTTGAGCCTCGGAAACCTGTTAACTTGCCCTCCGAGTACATTTTTTATAGACTCAGCTGACAGTGGCCGTGACCGTGAAGTTCAGTAGTTTTCTCCGGCTCAGAGATGTGCGGCACCCCTTAAAATGTTACATGTGGACTTTTCCTAAAATTGAAACTTAAACCAGAAGAAATAGTTTTGCCACACAAGAAAATATGTACCACTTTTGAGTCCCACCGTCCATAAACACTTTAAAGCGTACTGTTAAAGTATTAGGAATCCAGTGTGTTCTCGGGTCTTACTATTTTAAAAGAATTTTTAATAGCTTTGGTGTTCATACTGAAGCTTCGTAGTAAGCCCGGAAGAAAAAGGAAGATTTTGATGTGTCTATTTCATTGGATATATGAGTGATTACATTTTAATTCTTACATAGTAAGTCCAAGTTCTTGGACAGCAACTTGATGGCATTTCTTCCAACTGATTCCAAGCCAATACAGTGGAATACAGACTGTGTTAGCCTCTAGGTCTTGCAGCTTATATAAACACACATTCAAGTTACCATTCACTGTGGGTGTTGAAATTATAGGAATACCAAAGATTGGTGGATAGATCCTGATAGAGTTGCCGCTTCTCAGAATTGGATGTAGAGTTTTGCATGGGTCTCCATGTCTTTGAAAACTCGAGTGCAGGCTGTGCCTTGTTTGGCCTTTTTCGATTAGCCACTTAAAGTTTTTCCAGCATTCTTTATTTGGTTTAGTTGTCAGTTAAACACTGGCCTGCAAGAGTATTTGCTTTCTGAATTGGCAGGACCTAAGTAAGAGAGAGTCTTCCATCTCTCAGCTGCTTATTTACTAAGACTACTTGACTACTGCAAGCAAACGTGACCAGGTTTCAGGACAGTTTCTTTGAAACAGTTTTTAGCTCCGAGAAAGCCGTTACTATTGAAACCTTACATTGTTTGCGTGAAGGAAAAAAAAATGAAGCTGTGAAGAGCCTTTGGTGAACACAGACCTTAAACCTCTGAAGAAGTGGACTTTTCTGGAATGGAGCTGGATACTTGGACTTACATAAGCTTGACATCATAGCACACATTTGTTCTTCACCAACGTGGTACGCTGAGCAGAGTGTATACTTAATGGGTTAAAAGCTGGAGTTTTCAACCTCTAGTGGCAGAAAGTCCTTCCTAAGGAGACACACAGCCTTAGCTATTGCGATGGCCCTTCTTCTCCCTCAGTCCCATCAGTCTTGTATAAGGGAGGAGATAGTGGTTCCTCCTGTTTTGGTAGGTGACATTAGGGATCTAGGCAAGCATCCCAGGAACATTTCAGTTAGAGACACCAGTCAGTGGTTTTCCTGTGTGGGTTCTGTGTGAACCACCCCCTTCAGTCCCCTGGTGTCTGTGTTCTCAGATTCAAACATCCCTCACTGTTGCTGATGCCTGCCCACCTGTGACTGTTGCTTCATTTGGCAACGGCATCTCCACCAGAGTAGAAATCTAGGCATTCTTTCTTTGTTCACCTCCAGCGCTCCTTTCTTCCACTGCTCTGTTATCTTTTTTTTGCCTCCTTTCTAAAATATAGGAAACTTACTGTCTAGGCCAGAGGGCACCACCTAGTGTCAAGCTGGAAACATCTCTCCCCATGTCAGTCTCCTAAGACTAAGTGCTCATACTGAAGCATTACTTGCCTGTTCTCTGGAAAGGCTCCTGTGGACTTGCCCTGTCCTCCCTCTGCAAGCCAGGGCATTCTTTGCTGTTCATTTTGAAAGTCATAATCTTGGGGTCTTGATGGCCCCAACCATCACTTAGTTCCAATGTCCCCTTTATCATTTTCCCCAAGGAATTCGGGGCGTCTTTATAAGACATTTGTTGGTCGGTCCTAACAGTCTAGGATTCTGTTTCAATGAATATCCAGTTAAGGTGCTTATTCATACCTTGAATAAAATAAAGTGAAGTACAGTGGTCAAGGTTTGTTTTGTTATTGTATTTCTGCCCTTCCTAATCATCTGTTGAGGAAAAAATATATGTATATGTATATTTTATTAGTTTGAGTATATACAGCTATAAATATGGCACGCATTTATCTGTCAGTTATGTTTTCTTTGTGTTTCTTTGCAGACTCTGCTATTATTTTATTCTCAGCAGCATCTGTATTTTATACACACACATACACACACACACATAAAATATTCATTTATTGTCTAACAGATACTAGTACTTACACCTTAACACAGTTAGAAATGGATACCCACTCACCATTCCTGTATCTGGACACTGACCTCAAACTCTGGGAGTAGTGATCACCAAGAACTGTAGTCTCACCTTGTTTCTTTTTCATATTCTTAAAATTTTGGACATAGACCAGATAGTAAGTAGTGCATATCATTCTGTTTCTGTGTTGTTCCCCGTTTGACTCATCTGCAGTTCTAGACGAGAGAGAGAGTCTATGTAGCTGTACTTGCCCTTTCGGAACTAATGCCCAGCAAGTCAACTTTGGACTAAAAATTAGGCAATCTGTGTTCTTAGCTTGGTTCAGTTGTTGGATTGCTTTTGTTTAGACTGCTTGCTTAATCCACTTGGCTGTGCTTCATCAAGCCACTACCAAATCGTATCTAACTTAGTTGTCTTACTCTCCATGGAGACTTAACAGAAGTTTGGTGTAAGATAAACATGACACCTGCCCAGGAGCATGGAACAGTTCCCAATAAGGCAAGTGTAGGAGGTGAGCAGATAAGCATAGCTTGTAAAGTGAGACACCTGCTGTCAGGTGTGGTCAGCAGTGATGTTTGTGATGGAACAGTGCTGTGACAGTGTTCTCTCTGTAATGGTGACTTAGGGAGCTCACCCTTGTTATTGTTTCCCCTCCTCGCCTTCACACATCTTGCTGGAGCTCCACAAGAAGAAAGAAAACTGAAACAGAAAAGCCAACTGGTTTTCTGTTACAAGTTTCCCACAAAGATTGTCAATGGGATTCAAACAATTCATATTCCCTACATCCTATTGTTTGTGACCTGAAAATTTAAGCTGGCTGCAGGATTATTGATACACTTCTCACACTTTTAATCCTTCGCTTTGTTAGTGTTAAGATGTTGCTTTCAGCCAGGCGGTGGTGGCACACGCCTTTAATCCCAGCACTTGGGAGGCAGAGGCAGGTGGATCTCTGTGAGTTCGAGGCCAGCCTGGTCTACAAAGTGAGTTCCAGGAAAGGCGCAAAACTACACAGAGAAACCCTGTCTCGAAAAATCAAAAAAAAAACCAAGATGTTGCTTTCATTTTTATACCGTTTTGTATCTCTAGACATATGACTGCTCTTCTCTTTACTGTCCTAAATGAGACCATAAACATTTTTTAAAGGGTGGGAGGCAGAGTAAGATCCGGAGTTCAAGTTCAGCCTGGGTTACATGGAGTACCCATGTCTTCAAAACAAACAAACAAGAACTTGAATATAGTATGCAAAATGTTTCTTTTTCTTACATTTGGCTCAGGCGGGCAACACTCCTATTTTATTGTCTCCTAGAAAAGTTGATTCCTAGTTTCCCTGTACAAAAGTATGCCTGTGTGTAAGAAAAGTATGTTTAATATTTCAGGTATGTGTTTAAACTTTATAAACACTTCCTTTCCTTAAGGCTGGAGACATGCGTGTTCCATAGTTTCATAACAATCAACCAGTATTCCTTTCCAATTTGCCTTTTTCATGTGCAGTGCTATTTTAAGGAAGATATATTTAGACATATTGCTGAACATATAAATATATGTATGATTACTCATTACTTTTAATAAATACTTTTTTATCTTAGCTTCTAGTTTCTAAAGCAAGCTGTCTCTGGTGAGGAAGATTAATAGTTGGTGTTTCAGGAGTGAGGAAAAGAATTAGAACATTTATTTCTCAATTTAAAGTATAGGATTACAGAGCATTTCTGTGATAGGAGGTGAATATTCATTAAAATACACTGGTGGCATTGATTTGGACTTCGGTGTTATTTTACTTTTGTTAATATTTACAATCTTCTAATATAGACACACATGATTAAATAGTAAAATAGCTCTATTTTCAAAAGACTATACCCTAAGTTATAGTACACGTAAGCTCAGCTAGGTCTGTAGAACGCTAAAGCAAGTTTAGCAAAGCCACAGTGCACTGGGGTGCTGAACATCTCAGGAGGAAGTACGACCTCTCCAGGGAGTGAGGGGGGAACAATGCCATATAAGCAGCATGGCCAACATAACAGGTCAGGTCCAAGGCAGGGGAGGCCCCTTCCTTTGTCATGGATCAAAAGCAGATTCTGGCCAGGTCTTTTTCTCTCAAATAACTAGGTGGTTGAATGTAATCATGGTGAGAAGAGAGAGCATGCTGCATTTGCAGGTCAGAGTTCTGGACTTCGCTCTCACATTTGTTTTTTAAGTGAGTCGATAGGTCTGTTAATTTTCTCAGTGTCTTCATATGTATTATGTGGATACTGTTATCTTCCCTTTTTAGTTATAATTGTTGTAAGAATTATATGAAGCGTTGAACACAAGACCTTTGTAAGCTGCCTCAGAGTGGAAGGATCCCATCCCTTTAAACAGGGTCTTTTCTCTTAATTGTTGATAAGGAGGCAAGATAAGGCCTTCAAGATATTTTATACCATGAATCTTTGGTTTTTAGTTTTTAGTATTATTTTACTGTACCTTTGAAAACCATTCTCCAGCCTATTACATGGTATGGGTTGTGTGCAGAGACTTACATTTAGAACTTGCTCAGGATGGACATTAGAAAAATATGGTACACTGGCTTAGTGTAGCTGCACAGATGTGAGCTCAGGTTCTGTGGAAGTACAAAGAATGGGGACTGATGGGTTACTAGATTTTTCAGAAGGAGTACAGGTATCTGTTTTAAAAAGCACTTGAGAGCTGGGCATGGTGTCTCATGTCTATAATTCTAGTAATGTGGAAACAGAAGCAGGAGGATCACTGCAAGTTTGAGGCCAGCCTGGTCTCTATGTGAGTTCTAGACCAGCCAGCTATAGCAAGTCCCTATCTCCCAAGAGAGAACAGTACTGGAATGTGTAATCTAGTAGTGAAAAGTACCCCCTTGGCCAGAACTCTGAATCTGGTCTGTCACTTGGTTTGGGTGTAACTTTGGAGATGTCCTTTGCTTCTCTGTGCCTTGGTTTTTTCATCTGCAAGGCAGCCGTAGCTGTAGAACTGCTTTTACAGTTTTGAATGCTTATAACTAAAGCGTGCTCTCTATTGTTTAGTGTTTTAGCATTATAGACTCTAACTTGATGCTTAGCACTAAGATTCTTGTATTTCTAGAGGTAGATTACTCACATGTCCTCTTTTGTATTTATAATAGAGTTGAAACTTTTTTTTGTTTATTTCATAGCCTGTTTATGAAATCTAGTTAATTTAGGTTATATTGTTCGTTAAATGTACTATTGATACTTTTCACCATAGAACCAGGATTGCAGAAATAGCATTAATAGATATTAGGTAGCAACCACACCAGAAATGGTTAATATTACAGTGAATATATAGAAAGGAATTGTAGTTCATGACACTGCATCATGCCTTGTGGTTTTCATCTGCTTTCACACAAACACTGTCAAGTGCCTCAGAGATCTGTGTGGAAGGCAAGACAGAAACAGGTATTATAGAGCTGGCGGTAGGCTGTTTTCTCATTTGAGAACTTGAGATCTGTGACTTGACTGTTGTGGGCCTCAAATATGGGAGAGCTGGTACTGGATCCCCTTCTCCAACTGACCCCACATTCTTTTTATGGACCACAACAAAACACTAAATATATCAAAAACTAACCTCTGCAGTCACTAAGGAAGACACCACTCTGGCAGAGAATTTCCCCAATAAACAGGTATATCCAACCCTCTTTGTTCAGTTTGCCCCTTTAAAAGGTAAAGTATAATGACCTGTCTGTGTGTCTCTTTCACACAGATGACAGACTCCTGGTATGCCCAGCTTCTGTCTCTTGTTGGAGACAGGAAGCCTCCCATCCCTGTGATGGGACCTTGGCACTGCTCTCAGGGGTTAGGCCCAGGCCCGTTGGGCTGTCATTTATAATCATGATCGCAGAGGACCACAGCTGAGGCTGGAGAGCCTTTGCTCCCTGCCCACTCCCTGCCAACTCAGAATGGTGCCAGCCCTAGCACCCAGCAGCTCTTCTCTTCTGGGGACTTATATTCTCGTCTTTCCACTTCTGAGTTGATTGTCTTTTAAAAGTGTATCATTGATATTTATTAAGTTCCACCAATGTTGGGCATTTGGATCAATCCTACTTTTGTGTTTATATAGGTCATCTTAAGTAAATCAGTGTTAAATAAGATGAGATGGAAGTACCAAAGTTGGCACTGAACTCGGTATAAGCATAGCCTTACAGTGTTAGCGTTTCTCTTGTATAGCAGCAGCACATAGGGCTTTCTTTTTCTCTTAAGATTTTTCTATAGTTCTAGAAAATTTCTAGTCTACAGGTATCCTGTATGAATGAGGTTATATGGTACCTTTAAGTCAGAGCATCTGCTAATATAAGCAGAAACATTGTATCTTGTGTCTACTTCACCCAGTGACTTAACTGCAATACCCCGAGAAAGGAAAGCAGGATGCCTGGGGTGCACAGTGACCCTGCCTGCCCTGTACCAAGCAGCTATGGGGAAATGGTGGCATTTCTTCCCATGAACTCTTAACCTCCCTATTTCAAGCCCAGATACTTTTGAGTGTATCACCAATTCTGCAAATACATTATTAGTTTTATGTTTAGAGGGGTGTGTGTGTGTGTGTGTGTGTGTGTGTGTATACTTACATAGAACATACCACTTAAGCAAAACAAGCCAGGCATGTGATGTGGAACTCCTGGAGCTAGGGATTCGTTCCAGTGCTGACTGAAGTGAACTCTTTAAGGCTACTATTCGGAACCTCAGCTAGACCTGCTTCTGTCATTGCAGGGCCTTTTGAGACACATTTGACTGTCCCCACTTGCCAGTGCTTCAGTACTACGTCTGTTAGATCACAGAGTAGGCTCAGAGATGATTTGAAAACTTTTCCTATCCTGGAAGAAAGTTTGGCCTCCTGTAGAGTGAGACAGTGATGGTCAGGTAAGGGGTTTGGAGAGATTGTTGAGGTGCCATGGAAGCATGGCATACCAGAAAGAATGGGGTCAGGCATCTCCACCTCAACTGCTTACCTGAAATCCAGCAGAGCGGTACATATTTCAGCTACTTTGACCTTGCCTTTCTCTACTGATATAAACTAGATGAATCTATGTTTGAGGAGCAAAGGAAACATGGACAAGGCGGCCAACCCTAGGAAAGGAAGGTTCCGATTTGTGTAGCTATTGCCTTCAAGGCAGTGGGAAGTTTTCACATAGCCTTCATGGAGAGGAGTGCTGCTGTTGGCTCTCTTCTGCATGATCTCGGGGTTCACCTGAGCAGGAGACAGCTGGCCTGGGTCTGCATGGCTGCCCTGGCATAGTGATGGGCTGATAGCAGTGTCATCCAGGGCTCTGGGCTACTGGAATGCTACTCTTTCTTCTGTGTCTCTACCATCCAGGCCTGTAACACCATGAGAGCCAGGACTGGTTGGAAAGATGTTCTGACTTCTGGCTCTTAGTAACCATCCCTTCCATGCTCCTCTGGCATTTTCAGTTTATGCAACAGCAATCATTCCCCAACCGCACCCTCCAGTCATTTGGGTGTCCCTCTTCTAGGCACAGACCTATCGACTGTAGCATTCTCCTTTTGTTCTATATGTATTACCTATGGCCCCAGCTCACCTGTGAGTTCCTTGATAAACACTGTTCTTTTTGTTTTGTGTCATTTTCTTTTTTCTGTAGAACTTTCATTATTGAGGTTCCTCAGTGCTGAACTAACAAGAGGGTACTTCCTCGAACATAACGAGGCCAAGTATACAGAGCGAAGAGAAAGAGTGTACACTTGTATGCGAATACCAAGAGAATTGGAAAAGGTACTTTTTTTCATTTCCAAACATCATTTGAAAGTTTTAATTATGAAAAAAAAATTGTGAAGAACGTCTGTTGAGTTTTTAAAATATTGGAAGTAACATGGTAAGTAATTGAACATGTTTGGGGATATAGGATTGCTTGTAGAGAGCAGCTTATGACAGCTGGTTTTAGTATGAGGGGAACATCACTGAATCTCTCCACACCTTCATTTTGCTAGTTACTAAACTTCCCACATTTTCATCTTGTCTAAGCAGCTTTATCCCAGGATTTACTCTTTCTCTGAGCTGTTCTTCAGCTCCCTTCAGTTGTGTGTTTCTAGAATAGCACTTCCTTTTTTTTCCACTTAAGGTATTTGATTTCAGCCTTCTCTGAGGTTCCAATTTCTTAGAATAGCCACATGTTTGAACACAGAAGTGACAGACCTTCAAAGGAAAAGATGACTTGTTTAAGCCTTGTCACAGAAAGCGTCCTGCTAAAGAGATACTGAAAAACAGCACTAAGTCTTCAGTAGCTTGTTGTGAGGTCAGTCAGAGGACAGGAAAGCCCTTTTCCTCTAATGCTGCTGGCATTAGGAGTCCTGAGAGATTCTAGAGCTTATTACAAGGAAAGATGTATGAGCTAATTCATGGATTTTTATAGTAACAGAAGGCTTGTCGGGTCTAGCTGCTTCCTCAGAACTGTGCTTCCCAGCTTGCTCGCTCGGTGCACTGTGAAGCAAGAGGTGTGGCAGGCAGTGGGAAGCCACGAGCCAGCCACTATGGCTGAGGCGAAGAAGCAGCAAGTGTAGATAGCCAGTTTCAGCAACTTTACTTTGTATAGGCTCTTGGTAGAGTACCACCTGCTGAGGTTTGAGGGAGTCAGTCCTGGGACAAGAGCTAGAAGACTGCTGAGGAGGAGGCAGTGGCCCTGTGCATGCCTAGTGATCAACACATTGTTGTCTTTCTAAGGAGGATGAAGGCTCGATCCCATGGAGGAGCCCAAGAGACTGATGGATGAGGTGGGGGGCAGGGAGGACTCTGCAGCGTCCCTTCCTCAGCACCAGAGTAGCTGCATTTTCTGTTTGGGGATTCGGCTAGAATTTTGTCTGGGGCTGGCAAGGTGAGACAGAAGAAAGTAGACCATGAAACCAGTTCTTCGGTTGGTTGCCTTTTAGACCTCACTGTTTCTCTTTTCCAATGATAGACCGTAGGCTAGAAGTGTTTGGACACAGTGCAGGGCAGAGGGAAGGCAGTCTGTTGACATCTAGTTTGTCTGGGATAGGACCAACATATACTCATCTAGCCTTAGGCCTCTGTGTGGGGAAAGATTTTCTCTCAGTGAGCAGTCCTGGACACAGTTTTTCTCTGGAAAAAAACTAGGAGGGATTTATCTGCAAACACAGGCAAACTTCATAAATGCATCCACGGTCTTCCTTACAGTGGGGCCCTATGTCTCTGATCCCTTTGTTATAGCATCCATTAATTCTTTTCTTCATCAGAGCAAGCGCAGTGTACACATCATTTTCCTTCATAGCAAGCAGATGTCATGTTTCATGGTGAGAAAATGCCCACATGTGGTGATATATTGTGTGTCCTAATAAAATTTGCCAGAAGAGATAAGACTTAATACAAGCAAGTATCTTAAACTAGGATCCACTGTGAGACCACTGTTGGGTTAAGTAATGCATGAGGTATGTTGTCATCAGGATTTGCCTTTTTAAAGAAAGAATCTGTACCAGGAGTTAGTATTGTTCATAGAACTGCATATATTTGTATGAAGGTTAAATGTATAATATCCCAAACTTGAATTACCATTCATTTCTCAGTGGTTTTGCCTTCCACGAACAGGACTGCTGGCTGTAGGTCTTTTAGGAACATGAGGAATGCTTCAGAAGAGGGTCATATTTTTCAGTTGAATACATGTCTCCTTGACTGCTAATATGAAAATGGGACCTCACTTAAAGCCTGGGAGACTGTTTGGCATTCAGGTTAATCTAAATGATTTCCTCCCTTTTAGTTAACATTGTCTGTACCAACATATAATACCTTATTGGCCATTTTCTTGGTAAATACTGTATTTTTCAAATAACATCTGGAAGCGATACTTTGCAATTAGAGAGCTCTGTGCTTCTCTGAAGTCTGCAAGGAGTATAAAACATTACTGTTCATACTTTAAGGCTGAGGGAAATCAGCTCAGTATCTTCTACCAAACCTGTGAACTAATGTGGAACAAAATAATCCCAGAAACTGCATGATATGTCAGCAGATGAACAACTTTACACTTGACATCCTTTGTTTGAAACAGTGCTTCCAACTTTTCATTAACACTCCTTTTCAAACTTCTTCCCCTGGGACAAGGCCCAGACATTTTAGAGTACTTCTTGGTCTGGGTGGGGATGAATTTCTTTTTCTCTGTCTGTCTGTTTGTCTGTCTGTCTCTGTCTCTGTCACTCTCTCTCTCTTTCTTCTTCTTCTTCTTTTTTTTTTTTTTACCCAAGCCTCCCAGTCCTGCCCAGCTTTGGGACTCTTCTGAGGTCTGCTCCTGAGTGCTTCTGGTCTACTTTGGGAGTGTCATTCTGTGTCCCATAAAACTGAGGAGACTGGCATTCTCTGCAAGAAAAAGCAAGAGGCAGAATAGTGCAGTGGCTCTCCAGCCAGGCTGCCACACTGGCTTCAGATCCCAGCCCCACAGCTTCTAGCTGTGACTCCTGGGGTATTCCCTCACCTTCCTGTGCCTGGCTTTCCTGCTTCTGGATCAGTGACATATTGAACCTTATAGAAGTGTTTTCAATTTTTTACCAGTCCTTTCTAGGAGTGCCCTGCTGTGGAACAAGATGAATTTCTTCATCCACAGGATTCATTCTAAGCTTTCAGGACATAGCGGGAGGTGTTTGGGAGAGCCCTGGTTCCAAGGCACCCCTAGGCCCCTTCTTTATCTCCTGCTTTACTTTCATTAAACATAACTTTCCAACCGTGCAAGAGTGATTGTCTGTCAGCCTTTCTCAGATTGCTAACCACGGATAGAAAGAGAACCTAGGGAAAGCCGGATGTTCCTGCTTTCCTTTTAGCCAGGCTCTCTTGGGGTAAACCTGATCTTGTTCATAAAGGATTTACCAGACAGGCACATTAGGTAACATGGCCTGTTGCTGGTTCATAGTTCACAGCTTTTGATACAACTGGAGACTAGTTGAGGACAGAGCCCTGTGTCTTCTGCCCTATGTGGCAGTTCCTGTGCTGACTTGCAAACTGATTTCATGCACCCGTATTTTGGTAGGAGCAAGTGCTAGGGAATGATTGGCTGTGTGTCACATATGCAATTATCTCTGTCCAAGGGCCAATTTTGTCGTCTCTTTGAACCTAAAATTGTAATAAATAATTTTGCAAAAATTAAAATTTGGCAAAAAATAAAATTCCAAAAAAACTGCCCATCATAGCATTTTCTAAAATTCCCTGACCAATTTATATGCTAATTTAAAGAGATAAAGACCACATAGTTATTGATTAATTTGTTCGCTCTTAAGTACTTATAGTATATCCTAGGCATTTGTAGCATGGAAGTAAATAGATAAATATAAAACTCATATTTTAGCATGGTGGGAAATATTGTATATAGAAGTAATTATAATTGAAGATATAGAATGGTAAGTGCCGTTAAGCTGTATAAGTAAAATGCTGCTTTCAGGAATTTCAAGAAGGGAAAGTTTGCTTAGAAGGTGAGCTGCAGAAGAAGACTGAGGCAGAGCCTGGGAAGGAAATTTGTGTGGCAAAGCTAGGAAGAGAAAGAGGTAGGTTGTGAACAAGCATCATAGGGTATGTATGCATGCACCAGGTGGTATGGGTGAAGGTGCTGGAAGGAGGCAGAGATGGGCACATGGGTGTGAACAAGGAGCCACCAAGAACTAGAAGATGGGCTTCATCTAGATTTTGCCTTAGCGTTTAGAATGTAGCTTCAGGAGGAGACTACCAAGATGTATTCCTTAGGAGTACTCTAGCTGTGTAACAGAAAGTCAGGCTGGTAGAGACTTACTCAACACACTTTCTCTCCTTTCCTTTGCGCAAATGTAGTCAGAGGAGGTCTCAGTTGGTCCAGCAGGCTAGTGACCTGCAACAACTCCAAGACCTTGTTTCACCCAGTCTTCGTTACTTAGCTTTTGATCTTCCTGCTTCTTGATTTTAAATAGAAAGTTGACAACAACAAGTCATTAAATCTGCATTATAATAAGAAAAGAAAAAGGAAGGGCTGGTACTGCCTGCCACCTTTTGATGCCCTTCCTAGAGAACTAAAGCTTTCCCTGAACTCCCAACATTCCACTTGTGCCTTGTTGGCTAAATAAGCACATGGCCACCCCCCAACTCTATGAGGGACTAGGATGATGAATGTTGGGTTTTAGCAACAGAGGAAAGGATTAAGAACAGTTACTGAGTTAGCCTCGGAGCTCTGCTTCTGAAAAACTAGGACAGCAACAGTCGATGTGGACTGGAAGTGAGCATAGAAAGCTCAGAACCCTTCCTTAATTACATATCTTTTTATATACCATTATCTACAATTGATTTATCTACCTCTTATGTTCTTTATTTCTCATGTTGGACATATATCAGATATAGGTTACAATAATTATTATTGTGAAACTTTTACAAAAATTACTTGTTTATGAACCTTACCTGTTATGAAAAGTTAGACTAAAATGAAAGTATATTTTTACCTTGTAAATGCATGCTTTGGGCAGTCATTTATTTCACAGTTACCATACTTTGTACATTACAGTTTTTAAATACATCTTAATGCAAACTAAGCTCCACTGTTCAGTCTTAAATACAGCTACTGATTTATCAATCACCTGTTTATTCATTATTATTTATTTATTTTGTCATACTAAGGATTAAGCAGAGGGAGGTGTGCTGAGGCAAGTGCCCTACCACTGAAGCACCTCAGTCCTGTTTTTGTCCTCTGAAAACAGGTATCACTAAATTATATCCTAGACCCACCTCCAAATTGAGATTTTTCTAGCCTCTAGCAAATATCA